TTTTCCCTTTGTTGCTGGCTTAGGAGAGTGAAAGTTTCACCAATGAAGACTGAATGTGACCCGATTTTCAATGCTCAGCCGGCAGCTTCTGAAACACATCCAGGTTTTGTGAGTTTAATAACCTTGTAGCCACTGACGATTAATTTTTTTACTGGTTCAAGACTGTATCTCTCTGACCTAATTAAGCTTTTGCCTGGCTCCTGAATAATTGCCAGCAAGAGGGCAGTGGCGCTGGCCGGCGCTGTAACCCAAGCGCCTTGTTCGGTTACTGCGGGTTGGTAACTGTCCCCACTGGTAACCTGGTTGGGTAATGCTGCGACATTTTAACTTAAAATTACCGACTGGATTAAATATTAAACTGTAACCTCAAAAGGAGCACGGTGCCCCTCTGGCTGGCGATGCAGTGCAGTGAAATGTCAGCATTTCCGAACCCCACAATTTACAAATCCCTCAAATGCTTCCAGGGGAGGTGTGGGTTCCTTTAGAGCAGCTCTCGACCAAACGGAGACGGGCGTGTTCTCAGTATTGCTGCTTCTGAGAGTCCAGGTTGAACACCACAGGCTGGATTTTTACAACTGCAAGTCGTGTTTCAGTGCTCCGCGGGTAATAAAATATCCGAATTGTGACAGATTGAGTTACTTTATTATCTGTTGGAGGCACATTTTCCGTGTCACCCTTTTTGTATGACTGTTAATGATGAATGCAATTCTGCTCGTTTCTATTGCTGTCTTATGTGGCCTTTGAACTAATTTTTTCCTTTTTCCATCTAGATTTTCCTTCTATAAACCAGGGATAATGGCAATTCTTCTGTTGGAGTGCACTTCAGTTCAAGTGAGGGGTAAAGTGCTGCCGCTGGAGAACCGGCATCCCTAAAATGAGTGATGGACCCTAGGAACCCAGAAATACAGTGGGGGTCTTTAAAACAGTCTGCACAGGGCTGGAGAAGCTTGTATCCCACTTAACCTGGAAAAGGGTAGATTTAGATGAGATATCAGGAAGAAATGTTTCCCTGTGCAGGGGGTGAGGCGCTGGCCCAGGTTGCCCAGAGAAGCTGTGGATGCCCCATCCCTGGAGGGGTTCAAGGCCAGGCTGGATGAGGCTTTGGGCAACCTGGGCTAGTGGGAGGTGTCCCTGCCCATGTCCCTGCCCAGTTACCCCCCGAACTGGATGGGCTTTAAGGGTCCCTTCCAACCCAAACCATTCTGTGATTCTGTGATTAACACCAGTTGAGCACTTTAACCTTCCTCTGACAAATGCCCAACCTGCAGCTCTGAGCAGAGAACCCCAAACCCAGCGAGAGCCGGTGCTCCCGCACTCTGCTACAAGACCTAAGTTCACCATAGGCAGCTCCAACCTAGAAGACAAAGTTTGTGCATGAAATAATGACTTAAAGGCACTTGCTGGTTGCAGGGTCAACCGCATTTTGGCTGTGCAAGGCATGGAGGGGTTTGGGCGGTGGGCTTTGGGCCAGAGCTTGCTGGGGGCTGCCCCGGCTCTGCAGCAGCAGGCTGTCACGGCTGTCGGCACGTGTTAATTAGCTGAAGAGAATGGTCCAAGGCGGCTCGTGCTGCTTTAAAGGGCCGTTCAGGGTCACATTTAAAACGCAGCTCACAAGAAAAATAAATGGAGAAGGGCTTAGTTTGTTCCTGTGGCAGCCTGCAAGCTGTGGCTGCGGGGCAGCGGAAG